TGGAAAAGCAGAAATGTAAGGAGTGAAGCCTACAAGACACAACCTACTTCCACCACTCTGCTCAACATGACAAGAGCCTCAGCTGAGTTGTCATTACCAGTTTTGGACACAGAACTTCAAGGCCTTGAAAAATTGGAGAAAATTCACAGAAGAGTAATAAGAATAGAGAGAGGCCTAAAAAAAATCTTAGGAGAAAAAGATTTAAATAAATGTGGTTGTTTTGCCACACTTGGTAACACTTGAGGGGAAAATGAGTGGAACCTTTTACATGCTCAAAGACTGTTACAAGGAGAAAAGGCACAGTCAGTTCTCCATGCTCATAGTGAACAGAACAACTAATGGAAGATTCAGAGTAGTCACTAGCAAATCTTCCAAAAGGTACAGACAGTTAGACGCTGAAATAAATTGTCACGGGCTTGGGGAAGGAAGGAAGGAAGGAAGGAAAGGAGGGAGGGAAGGAGAGAGTGGGGTCTGTGGAATAGTGACCACTACAGATCTTCATGAACACAGTGAACCTGTTAGGAATGACAAAGTTAATTTGCCATAAGGCAAGATAATGAAGTAGATGACCTCTTGAGCTCAGCTGGTATGTCTGCTTATAAGACCCTTACAGGCATGTTTACTTAAAGATAATTTGTCTGTTACTCTGGATCTCTCTTATAACAGATAATAGATATTTTAACTTATTTCATTTTTAGCTTTTTTACAGAAAGATATTAGTTTTCTTAACTTTATTTATACGATTAATCCGCATGGACATTTGCTTTGGTCTAGTGAAGTTGTAAAAGTGGTAAAGTCATAGGTAGATCAAATTGCCTCTAATTTCAGTTTTAAACATGAGTTGACTTCAGTTAAAACTAAGCATATTATTCATATTAGGAATTATTCCATTCCGGATGAGAGAATTTTGAACTCAAATTGCAAAACAGAGCTGCTTGTATTAAAAAATTATGGAAAATGATAAATTTTCAAAATAGATCTGCAAACACCTGTTATTGTAATTGTTGTGCATTTTGGAATAATAAAATAATAAAAATATTTTGTTGCACTTCTGTTGCCTGTCTTAATAAACCAATTTACAAACTTAAACAGTCCACCTCCCCACTTTACTATGCTTTAAATCGCGCATTTTCTTCTCTCTGCATAATTTTTTTTCATGTAACTAATATGCCCACCTGAGCCATATTTGCATTATACAGCCAAATCACATCAAAGAAGACTGGTATATGTTAGCCTGATCCAGTAATGTGATGATGAAATATCACATAGTTGTAACACAACAGAACTGTGGATGAGAATAAAGATTATAATTAATATTTCTTTTAAACTATAGGGATTAGAACCTCTCCAGAGCTGTGTCCCCATCTCTGTCACAAATTAGTTTGCATGTGAAAACAAAAATCATACAGCTCTCATGTCATCCATCAGACAAATGCAACCACTCATTTACGTTTTGCAAACAAATTTATTCAGAACCTCAAAACTAAAACTGTAACTAACACAGTTAAAAGAGCGCTGAGGTTAATATCAGAATGCTAGCAAAAAAATCCTAATTGCGCATCACTGCAAGTTTCCAGACTCCCACTTTGTCCCTCTCACACATTTTAGGTACCAAAGCCAAGGTAAATACCAAGTCCTAGAGACTCAAAGATGCAAAGAAAAAGGTGCCCTCCATATAAGCACTAACCCCTACCAAGCAAATTGCAGCCTTTGGGAATACCTCTTCCAAACACTCTCTCAACCCCTGTCCAGTACCTAGATATCTCTTCCATAAAGCTGGCTTTTTGAAAAAGGGTATATTATGCACCAAAAGCTTTCTGTTTTTCAAAATATCAACGGGCAACAGCAAACAAATAATTTATTGAATTTATCTTCTTTTTCTAATAATAAGTGACCACACAAAAGACTCAGGAACCATGCAAGTCCCACATGAAGTCTTGCTGTAAATATCAGTGAGCTTTGAATGTATGTCTCCATTTATACGAAACTAGCATTGGTATTCTACTTTGAAGTAAAATCCATTCCAAATCATGTCAACAGTTATTTGTTGTTCTACAGACTGATTGCAAATATTCCACTGTCAGCAGTTTCACTGACAGAAATTCTTACAGAAGGAGGGACAGACTTTGACTTTATCTTCTCAAAGTTCACTTTCCTTTCAATGTCCAATAATCATTTCATTAAACTTTTACATCAGTGTTTTTCCAAAATTTTAGTGAAGGTACATGCATGCCATGAATATCAGTGTAGTCTGAGGTACAAATCTGTTTTGAATTATTATTTAAGAAAAATATTTAAGAAGTAATTTGTATGCTCTTTGCCTAGCTCTGTCACAATGAATAAATGGCAACTCTGTCAAAAGGTGAAAGTCTCAGTATGACATGCTACTCTAAATACTAAATTGGTGGATAAGCTTATAGAAACACTCCTAATAGAGTCAGAAGAAGATTTTCAGAAACTCCTACCATGGGCCTAACAATTTCCATTGAAATCAATAGGTAAAATGCTTTTCAGCTTCAATAGAACTATTCTAGCAACAGTGAACTTTTCAAAAACTTCATATTAATTTTATTTTTAAAGGCAGGCTCTGCAAAAAGACCTCAGACTTTAGCCACCAGTCTACAGAAACTAACTTCAGAGGCAGTAAAAACTAAAATAGACTGAACTGTCTATTTATTTACTCCCAGTTAAGTAAAATTATCTCTTTTCTTGCATTATCCTGAAAGCAGGAAACCTGGAAAACTATAATTTATAACCCCCTGGTGAAGGCATACAGTACAGAGGCAATACATAGTGCTGAAATGTCCCTTAAAGACTTTTGAGAGGGACACTTAATGCAGGACTCATTGTGTTGTAATTAAGTCTTTCAAACACACAGATGTACAGATAAACCACGTGAAGATTATTCATCTCTGCTGCCACATCTGTGGGTGAATTAATACTATCTATCATTTATTATGCAGCCAGTTTGACCTTGATCTTACGAGCATCTGTGCCAGTTGTACTTGAAGCTCTCCAGACATCAAGATGGGAACACGGAGTGCAGCAGCAGTATTCATAGTCCTACTCATTGAAATGACTGTTCGATCCCAATTGCCTTTTTAGGTAGAAAACACACCCTGATTTTACAGAAAGGCAAATAAATACATGTTCTTCACCTCAAAGCCACTAATAAAGCGTCAACATATTAGCATCACCCCACTGCTGTCAATGCTTAGCTATTATTTCCTGCCTAAATTCTGTAAACCATTCCTCTTACCTCTGTATAACTTTGTCATACAACTGGGCTCACAATATTTTTTACCATAAGCAAGAAATATAAATTTCCTCTGCTCGTATTAACCCAATTGATGAGTAAGAATTTATTAGCCATCCACAAATCCTCAGATAAATCTAGCCTAAGGGAGACGTAACTACAAATAATAGGTGGAAAAACAGGAATCTCAGGATGCTGGGTTGTACATGTTAAACTGAGATTGCATTTATCTTGGGCTATTTGAATGGGAAGGGGAAAAGACAGTTGAGCGTGGTGTTAACATGCTATAATTCTTCACCCTCCCACCTCAGCAAGTGCGTTTTGCTTTGTTAGAAAGCAATATTTAGCCACACATTTTCATTAAAAAATACAACTAGCATCTTGGTTGAAACTACAAAAAAAAAAACTACAAAAAAAGAGCTAAGCAGCTAATCTAATATACTCATTTGGAGATAGCAGCCTTGAGATTAGTGGTTCCCCTCTACTCAGGCAATAGGATTTATAAAATTTTTCTGGGTATCTCATGTTTCTCTTCAATTTACGTTATTAACATCAGCTATCAAAGCCTTGGTCTTTCAGTGTGACTTATACTGATAGACATTAGAGCAGCTCACAAGGCTGCACTCTCTGGGAAATACAGAAAACGAGACAGGAACAGGGTTAGAGAAAGGACATACTTTCAAGAAATCAAATGTCAGTGTTTCATTATGTGTAGGTGGGGAAGAGAAAGAATTAACTAGGTATGCTTCCCAGTCATTAACCATTAGTTTTCTGTTAAGAGGCAAGTCTTGATTCACACTGATGATCTATTAATTCACTGAAAAAATACTGGAGGTGGGGTTCAGGTGTATTATTTGTATAGTATGACATTATTCTGTATGAGAAAGGAAGGTAAATTCTAGATCTAGTATCTTTGGATTACATTCAGCTATACTTGTAGACATTGCATGATATTACAAACA